ATATTTTATAGTTTACAATTGTTATTAAGTAACATTATACCACATGACAATTTTTTATTTTATACAATCTTTTCTAAATGAGACTGATTTGATATGTCTAATATTGGTGGTATTAAAAAAAATTAAGGATCTAATCCGTATTGAAGCAGCAGATTAATGATATTTTAATCTTTTTATTATTGTTGATTCAAAAAACCCGTCCCGCCAAACCCGTCCGGCCAAAAAACTCATTTATTTTATTAATGTTGATCTTATTTATGATAGGATTCTGAATCATTGTCTAAATATTTTAATCGATGTAGAACGTTGAACACACATTTTCATCAATTGGATAATATATGTCTGTTTTTAAAATTTCGAATCACAGTATATGCAAAAAAAAAAAATCTTTATGTATTATATGATGATTCAAAACAATTAAAAACAAATCAAACAAAGATGATAGGAGAATCATAAGTCTAAACCTTAATCAAATCTTCTAAATATCTAAATTATTAAATATGGAATATCCGGTGTATGAGTTGGGTTAAATATAACCCGACCCAACAAACTTTTTATGACCAAAATTTAAAAACGGTTCAGGTATCCAAATAACCCGAAAATATTTTTACTCACCCATCACTAAATCAGCTATCATCACTTAACGTATAATTGTTGCCTTGCATGTTTGACATGTATACTTTATCTTATGTGTCATCCATACAAAATTAGCACAATTTATTTGCTTAAAGTAAACTCTAATTTTTGAATAAATTAAATTTTCACAATTCTGAACTGTTCGCTTTCCCCACTACTCCATGATATTTGCAATCTTTTACATTCATATTTTTACAGGTTCTCTCCCAACTCGATGTTTGCCAACCAAGAATATAATGACTGTTTTGTATCCCTTTTCTTTTTTCTTTCTTTTTTGAACTTCTAAATATGTATTCTTCATGTAATTCTAATTTTTTAAAATAGTTTCTTTTCATTATAATAGTAAATATTAAAATTGGGGGAGTATGACTATCTTATTATATAAAGTATGGTTTTCAAAATTAGTAACTCACGAGATCATGACACATGTCAAATTTTTTAATCTGAGATTTTGCCATGTGTCAAATAAATTTTTACTTTTTAATAGAAAGGTAAAACGATAATTATAAGAAAATTATAAATTTAAACAATTTTAAAATGTAAAAAGCTAATTATAAGGAAATTGTACCTATATTCCCATAAGAGATTTTCCATGTAGCAAACAAAATTTCTGTTTTTAACAAAACTTTGTTAGATAATGATAACAAAATTATAAATTTAAACAGTTTTAAAAAAATAAAAAAATTTATTAAGAAAACTATACATATATATATATATGTATATTTTCCATAAACATTGAAATTATAAAATTATGCAAAACGTTTTATTTATAAGTTACTAATTGTACAAGAAAAAGATTTAAATATAAAAAAAGGTTGTAAATAATCACTTTCCGACACTAACAAATAGATTGTCTCATATTTTCTCACCAAACAAACTAATTTTTCACACACTATCCTTGCTTTAACTTCATTCTATTGGTAAAAAAAATTTGGTTATAAAGTATTTTTAGGATAATATGAGTAATTAACCTTTGACTCAAAAATAATTAAGGAAATAGCCATGAGTTAAAAAAGCTTTGGAAACTAATGTTTTTCAGAAATATAAAAATTCAAAATTGCCCTCAAACAATAGACAAACATACAACTGCGTATTCTAATTTGGAGAAAAAAAAACATGAAATAAATACTAATAACACGAAATCTGAAGAAAAAAAACCAATATTAGAATTCTGACGACGAAAGAGAGACATCCAACAATGTCATTTAATATAATAACATGTCACATGAAATAAATACTAATAACACGAAATCTGAAGGAAAAAAAAAATCAATATTAGAATTCTGACGACGAAAGAGAGACATCCAACAATGTCATTTGATATAATAACATGTCATACTGAAAGAAATAGAAGTAGAATGTGATTGTTATGGAGGTGATGATGGTGGTGGTTGATGGTTATATAATTTTAGTTTAGCTTACAAAAATAAATAAAAAGTTAAGAAGGACAATTTCGACCGGCAACTAGTTATGATCAAATAGTTAACTTATGTCGGATCATCACGAAATTTTTGTGGGTAGCTTCAGGACATCTAGGGGTAGAATTTCAATGGTGCGACTTGAAGGTGGACGGTTAGAATTTGTTTTGTGATCTTATCTTTCAGGCTAAGCGTTATGTTATTTTTCCAGAATTTAACAGTTTAGGTTAAATATTGTTTTTGGTTATTGTGGTTGGGTAGAGGGTGAATTGAGCTACTGTTGGCGAGTGGAAAGTCACTGCTAGTTGTGGGATTGATGTTTTTGGTTCGAAAATTATCTTTTCAAAGTGAGTACGTGGCCATAAGCTTATCTAAGCGATTGAGATTGTTTGACTTGTTTCCTGTGATGTGTAGGCTGAATTTTTGATGGATCTAGAGTTGAATCCCTAAGATGGTTGTTTCAATGGATAATTTTTCATTGGTTTGGTTTGTTTCATGATTTATATGTTAATTGTGATCTTAGTTTGCTTGTGTGTATAGCTGATAGATGGGAGGATCGCCTCACTAAGTATTTGTGATAATACTTACGCATCTTCTCTTCTTTGCTATGATTTCACATTACACCTTATCTTTACATACACCATAAAGAAAGAGATGTATAAGTGCTATCGCAAATAACAAGAGGACAAAATGTTTTTAAGCCAAAGCTTCAAAGATATTGAAATGTTGTTATTAGATCCTCAAAAAAAGAATGGATCATCAAATAAAGGCTTCAAAACAGAAGTTATTTTTATTATTGTTTTCTTTTTGATCAATCTTTTTATTAGTTATATGTAGTATGTTCACGTATATATAGTAGGTGCCATAATTCAAATATTGAGCCTATTTGGGATTGAAGATATTTGAAAGATTGTATTTTACATCTTTTTCCTATATATAATTTTAAAGTTTAAAAAAAATCATATTTTCATATGGTAATTATAATAACTTGAAACTAATGAATGCAAAGTAATTTTTTTTCTTTTTGGCCAGTTTTAAATTTGGCGTATTATTTAATATTAATGATGCAAACTCTCAAAATCCACCTAAGGTTTATGCTTCTCGGTTTCAAGACTTACCGTTTGAAATGGCTTGATGAACGAAGGTAGTGATGGAGTTTTGTCGTTTAATACACAACTACACACGATTAAACCAACTTGGATCCTCAAGCTAACTCACCCGTAGACACATAAAAGACTTAGTGAATCCACACTAAAACTCAAATGCAAATAGAATTCAAAGACTACACATTTGAATGAAAAACAAACGACAAACGTGCATGTACTGAATAGTTCTCAAATTGAAGGGTGAATACAAATGAAAGCAAGAATTAGCTTATATAGGGGTCAAGTACAACCACTACATGCCAAAAGAAAGAAACAAATCGCAAGAATTAAATAAAATAGAGTCTTTGGAGACTTGATGGTGCAATCGGCCAAATAAGGCAAGTGGTGCCTTAGCTTGTATTTGGTTAACTTGGGGAGGTAGGTGCGATTTCTTAAGAGTCTCTGGTAGTTTTTGAAGGTCTTTAGAACATGCAGAAGTTGAGGAAAATATGGCTTTTTGGGATTTAATGTGGTTCGGCTCCACAGAAAGCAAGTTATGGCTCTACGGGTTCTTGTGTGGGAAGATGTTGCTAAGGTTTTGTGTGACACCTTCTAGAAGCTTTAGAGTATCAACATGCTTCTATATGTGGCTCTAGGATTCACAAAGAGAATGAAAAGACAATGTTACATGTAAATTACACATAAAAGTTTTATCCTTAATATTAACCACAAGTGCGTATGCAAGCTCAGTAGTATTTAGAAATCGAATCCATAGAGACCAAAAGAACACACAAGAGACTTGTAAATTAAGATCTAAACCTAGCTAGGACAACATGGAGTTACAAGAATTAGGTGATTTTGCAGAATTTAAATTATTAATTAAATAAATATAATATAATATATAATATAATAAATATAAGAAATATAGTTTCATAGAATTCATTAGAGAATTCATTAGAGAATTCATTAGAGAATTCATAAGATAATATATGAAAAACATGTAAGTTCGGTTATGATTGTAAAAGTTCTTGAAATCAGAATTCTATTAAGAATTACCCTAATGGTATTTTAGTGATAACTCATTTGAAAAGACTACATAGTTTCATAGCTTTTGGTGAGGGTTGTTCTAACCAATCAAATCAAGCATTAAGAATAGAATCCAATATAATAACATAACTTTTGGTGAGGTCGGTTAACAAACTTTGCCTATCTAATAATAGATCTATCAATTCAACATCACTTTTAGTGGTTTGAGGAATTATCTGTTTTACCAATGAATATTTCAGAATAGTAATGGCTTTCGCACAAGTCAAGCACGAGTCAAAGGGACTAGACTCGTCAATGTACCTATAAAATTCATAATGGAATACAAATATTATTCATTGCTAAATAAGTAAAATGAAGATATATATATTGAGATTGTTTTGTTGTAGTTGTTATATACATGAAGTTTGGAACCCGTTTTTCAGGTACTATAACCGTCATTTTCCCCAAACACTTAGCAGCCACATCCCGTATAGTATCATCCACGCAAGAATATCATCGACGCCTGAAATCTGGAAGTCCGCTCTATAAAGCCTCATAAAAACCTGAAATCTTGATTAAAAAAAACATTTACCTCCTTGAGTATTCACGTAATCTAATGATACAGTATTGATACTTGTTGAGAAAACATTTACCTCCTTGAGTGAACGAATGAAAGGATACTGGTTTTTGCGTTGGTTCTCGATTTGGTGTAAGAAAAACGGTAAGTAATTGGATTTATTGCCAACATCAATGTTTCCAATATAGGTTTAATTATATAGATATGATGCAAGAACAACATCTTTCAACTTCTTTTTGTAATTAAAAATGGGTCCATGTGTCATATGAATGTTTATAACTTCTTCTCGACGAGATTTAGTTCTTCATAAATTAACATATATGATAAATCATGATCTATGTTCTCATGCTGTTTACAACTGAATATTTCACACACAGTTGGAGAAGACGTAGAGACCGAAGAGATTATCGTGGAGTGGCAAAAACACGTCCTTGTAGTTCCTCTTCATTATTGACCTCAAATAAATTCGTGAAAGTAGTTTCTTCATCACCATCTATCTCTTCATCATCGTGGAGGTCAACTATGTTTCCAAAGTCAGGTTCATGTGAGTCAACATGATCCATTAAACTCTTGAACTTATGACTGTGATCCACTTTACTGATAAGATCCAATATTGTACGGACAGCGCTAATCTATACTATATAAATTTAACATATAGACACCTCGCTAATTAACATTTTTTAAATTTTTTTAATTTTCTATACTAAGATATTTATAAAAAAGGAAAAAAAAAAAGATGTAAAGAAATAAAACAAATGTAAAGTTTTTATAAATAACATATGGAAATAAGAAAAATATAAAACAAAACGACCAATCGCATAGCTTCACATCATCAATTATTTAAATTAAACAAAAAAATCCGTTATCTAAATTTAAATGAATATTTCTTTTTTTTTCTCAAACAAACGAATATCTTTTTAACGAAAATTTCCAATTAGCAACACAATGTTAGCGTGAAAAGTGAGTTTAGTTTCCGATTAATAATGAAAAGGAAGTAGCATTGAAAGTTGAAAGTCTTACGTTGTTTGTAAATCATATCTTAACCAAGTGATTTCGAAGTTCGAAAATGTATAGTTGGAGAGTCTTCCATCAAAAGGAACTATACATTTTGATTGTGAGCACCTTGCACTTCTCTTATAAGCAAGTAGCTTTGATTTAGAGAGAGTAATGCACATGTCTGAACACTCCCTCCCTAACTAAGATATTTGTTTTCACTAATCTCATCAATCTTTGTCGAATAAGAGTGGAAAATCTTAATTTGTTATAAAGATTCAAACTTTCGAATCGTTACCAAGAATCTAACAGTAAAAAGAATCAAATGCATATGTGGTCAAGAGTTGTTCATAATTAATTTGTGCATGCGATATGACGGTTCAACAAGAGACGTGTCAACAAAACAATCGAAAAAGAATCTGCAAATGAAGATTTATGGAAGAGGAAATTGTGAAAACTGGAGATTACGAGGCAGAAGATGTTACGTTGGTCCCTCTTCAAAGCAAAAGAGATGTGTTTTGTTTAACACAAGAACACATAAGAACATGTAACTAAAGAGATAAACTCTGTTTTGTCAATTTTCCGGTCTACTTCATCATAATGACATTGATGTCTTTAAATATACAAAGAAAGCAAAGTGGATCGATACCAAATCCTGAAAACAAGGAACATGATTAATAAAGTGGAAATATGGAATCGTGGAGATTGATCTCCTAATTCTAAGGAACGCACTAAACATTTCTTCTTTTCTCTTTGAGACTTTGACCAAGTCTTCTCCGGTTTAATCTTGGTTATGATCTTATCAATACTCCACCCTCCAAAGAACCTTGTCCTCAAGGTTCGTAGAAAAGCTTGGGCATCTTTCCAGGTTGCTTCCGTCCGTGAAAGTCCTTGCCAATGCACCAACACTTCACTTATGGGTTTCTTTCCTCGTCGCTTCTTTCTCTTCTCTGCCCGTGACACTTTCTTCATCTTTTTCCATGTCCGTGTCGTCTTCCTCTTCCTCCCGTATCTGTGTCTTTTTGGTGAAGTGTGATGGTGGCGCCTCGGAAGCGTTCGTGCTCGTCCACGTTTTGGTGAAGTTGTTGATCGTTTGAGTGAGGAAGTCACCAATGGTTGAGGTTTTGTTGAAACCTGCAAATCATTGACCATCTCCACGTTAGCCAGCCCGTTGGAGTTCTTCATTGTTTTCCCCCAAACTGCTGCCTCATCCTTCAAATATTGCCTCATCTTCTCCATCTCCTCGTGTAGATCACGTTTAAAGCCGGCAAGATCACGTTTAAAGCCGGCAAGACACTCCTCCATGGCTGCACGTAGAACTGCCATTGATTGCTCTTCATCGTTGTCGTAGACATCAAAGTCCACAGCTCCATAGATGTCGTTATAGAGATCCATGGATTCTGGTTTTTTTTTTTTTTTTGTGGTGGAATTTTGAAGGTGGTTTGTTGAACGTTGATTCACGAAGAATGCCGTCAACAAAAGGATAGAACTGCTCTGATACCAATTGTTACGTTGGTCCCTCTTCAAAGCAAAAGAGATGTGTTTTGTTTAACACAAGAACACATAAGAACATGTAACTAAAGAGATAAACTCTGTTTTGTCAATTTTCCGGTCTACTTCATCATAATGACATTGATGTCTTTAAATATACAAAGAAAGCAAAGTGGATCGATACCAAATCCTGAAAACAAGGAACATGATTAATAAAGTGGAAATATGGAATCGTGGAGATTGATCTCCTAATTCTAAGGAACGCACTAAACATTTCTTCTTTTCTCTTTGAGACTTTGACCAAGTCTTCTCCGGTTTAATCTTGGTTATGATCTTATCAATACTCCACCCTCCAAAGAACCTTGTCCTCAAGGTTCGTAGAAAAGCTTGGGCATCTTTCCAGGTTGCTTCCGTCCGTGAAAGTCCTTGCCAATGCACCAACACTTCACTTATGGGTTTCTTTCCTCGTCGCTTCTTTCTCTTCTCTGCCCGTGACACTTTCTTCATCTTTTTCCATGTCCGTGTCGTCTTCCTCTTCCTCCCGTATCTGTGTCTTTTTGGTGAAGTGTGATGGTGGCGCCTCGGAAGCGTTCGTGCTCGTCCACGTTTTGGTGAAGTTGTTGATCGTTTGAGTGAGGAAGTCACCAATGGTTGAGGTTTTGTTGAAACCTGCAAATCATTGACCATCTCCACGTTAGCCAGCCCGTTGGAGTTCTTCATTGTTTTCCCCCAAACTGCTGCCTCATCCTTCAAATATTGCCTCATCTTCTCCATCTCCTCGTGTAGATCACGTTTAAAGCCGGCAAGATCACGTTTAAAGCCGGCAAGACACTCCTCCATGGCTGCACGTAGAACTGCCATTGATTGCTCTTCATCGTTGTCGTAGACATCAAAGTCCACAGCTCCATAGATGTCGTTATAGAGATCCATGGATTCTGGTTTTTTTTTTTTTTTTTGTGGTGGAATTTTGAAGGTGGTTTGTTGAACGTTGATTCACGAAGAATGCCGTCAACAAAAGGATAGAACTGCTCTGATACCAATTGTTACGTTGGTCCCTCTTCAAAGCAAAAGAGATGTGTTTTGTTTAACACAAGAACACATAAGAACATGTAACTAAAGAGATAAACTCTGTTTTGTCAATTTTCCGGTCTACTTCATCATAATGACATTGATGTCTTTAAATATACAAAGAAAGCAAAGTGGATCGATACCAAATCCTGAAAACAAGGAACATGATTAATAAAGTGGAAATATGGAATCGTGGAGATTGATCTCCTAATTCTAAGGAACGCACTAAACATTTCTTCTTTTCTCTTTGAGACTTTGACCAAGTCTTCTCCGGTTTAATCTTGGTTATGATCTTATCAGAAGAGATGGATTGGATGGTTGAGATTTTGGCCATGAATTCCGAATTTTTTTGGGTTTTTAGCGGGAAGAAGTCTCGCGGGATTAGTGATTACTTGATGAGGGGGTCAGATAGGAAGAAACTTATGGGTCTAGGCTTTTGCAGTAGGTCTTTGCTAGAGGCTGTAGAGATTTTTAGCTTATAAACAGCTTGTAATATTAAATGGGACTAACAGTAAAAGTTGTTTTAGTGGAAAAAGAGAGAGCACTAATACGTCTAAAATGGTAACGTATTTAACCAATGGTTTTTTGTATGAACCCATGGTTTCTCATGCAAATCTAATGGTCTATGATCGTCTATTCGTCTTCATGCATGTGCCATCGAAATCTCAAATTTACGTTTGTATGCATATTATTTTACTGCTTCCTGAATTTTTTTTTTTTTTTATAAACCCTATCGGCTGATCCGGTCAGCCCCGGTAGAAACGCACCGAAGTTCTTCAAAGTGGACTTCTCTCCGAAGGGCCACCACATTGTCTGTTCCGAGTTTGGAATGTTTTCCGACTAATGCCAGGGGATAGCCAGATCGCCTGTTACTGACTACCAGGTAAACTGTTTGGGCCTTTGGCCCAAACCAGACTTTCCACACATATGTGATTTTTGTTTCCAGAGTGGATCGAACTTGGGTTAGTTCCTTCCAACATTTCCCCAGTTCTCCCTTACCACTAGACCACAGCTGTGTGGGTACTTCCTTCCTGAATCTTTACGTTTTTTTTTTTTTTTTTTTTTTTTTGATAAACCCTATCGGCTGATCCGGTCGGTCTCGGTAGGAACGCACCGAGGTGCTACAGAGTGGACTTCTCCCGATCCAGGTAGAATTGGGCCACCACACTGCCTGATCCGAGTTTGGAATGCCTTCCGACTAATGCCAGGGGGTATTCAGGCCGCCTGCATTTCTGACTACCAGGTAAACCAATTGGGCCAAGGCCCAACTGACAGACTTCCCAAACAAATGTGTTTTTGTTTCCAGGGAAAATCGAATTCGGGTCTGGGAGTTTCACCTTTCACCGAAGTTTTACGTTTGTATCTAACATTAACGTTTGTATGCATATTATTTTTGTGGGTAAAATCTTTCGTGCTTTGGAATATTATCTTTGTGGGTAAGATCTTACATGTTTTGGAGATTCAAAAAAATTTGATCCGTGGTCATCATCTATGTCAGTTCATCTCCTTCGGTTTGTGTGTCAGCGTTTTGGAGGTTCAAAAACCAAGCACAATTCACATGCTACTAGATATCAGAAACGGGCTTGGTTTTGAGCAATGTGGAGTGGGCCTTAAGCCCAATTTGTTTTGCCATCGTAATTATTAAATTACATGCTCGCAAAAGAACATTTTTTCTTTTTTTTTGGAATGACTCTAATTTGTTAATAAACAGCAAAGATCTCATTGGCATATTGGTGGTCAACATTTTTTTTTTCTTTTTAATACCAGGAAGTTTTGATCCAAAATCCATAATCTCTTATGCTCGAAACCACAACATGTAATTACTTTCGTTCCAAACGTCACTCGAACATGCGATCTCTAAGCTTTTAGGATTTTTACCAGTTGAGCTAACGACACTTGGTAGTGTGGTCAACATTTTGCATGAGCTCACGACCTACTAGTGCCGATTATACATGTTCTTGCCACAAAGTCGTTGGCATATTGGTGGTCAACATTTTGCTCTTACTTCTATTTTATTTTATTTTGCTGAACCTGTAAATAGTTATAGTAATGAATGTTGGGTATTACAAAAAGTTTTTCCTTTACATTGGTATCTTGGCAAAAATAAAAATTTGGTCTTACTAACTTCACAAATTTTTTGCGACAAATATTTAATTTATTGTTTGTAAATTTCTCCCTTTTTATTTTTTAATGAAAATATAAAGATTTGGGTGTGTGTAACCTTAATTACGGCAATGTCAATGAGAAAAAGATGATGAGCGGTTTCGTCGTCACAATATTGTTTTGCATATATATACTAAAGAAACTAAAGGCAAAATTAAAACTAAATTAACTAACTTCAAAAATGTTGAATGATAAATATATACCCGGCGTAGGGATTTTCCCTAGTAACAAATTAAAGAGAATGCATGCATCTCATAAAGTCTTCTTTCTTTCTTGTGCATTGTATCATCATTATGATTTTAGTTTTTTTTTCTTCTTATTCTGGATGACTTCTTCTTAGTTCTTATTATAAATAAAACTAAAAAATATGTTTGATGTTATAAAAAAAAAACAGACGATTATGGTTACATGTTATATGTTTCTAAAGCGAAAGTTGAAAAAAAAAAAACATCATTAAGTATGTAGAAATTTTAATTTTTAAAAGTGCATGTGATTTTTTTTTTGGCAGCAATAAAAAAATTATATGTGATCACTTATAATATGTGATTACTTGTATCACTAAAAATATGTGATTACGTACTTATATAACTAAAAGTTTTAAAACGATGAGAACATATATAATTTTGACTGAAGAAATTATTATTATGATCCTTTTTTTTTTTGTCAAACTTATTATTATGATCCATGATATATATATATATATATATATATATATATATATATATACATCTGAATTTAATTTGAATCACATATTTCTAAATAATTAGAAAGAAAAAATATGGTCGTCGATCGGTCCTAATATTACGGAAGGTGTCGAATAAAATAGAGCATAAGATAAGAGATATTTTCTGCATAATGAAGAAATGCTAGATCAAAGTTTTTAAGAATTTGGATATTATAAAGAGTGTCCTTCAAAAGTGACAATGGCACCAAGACAAACTAATTAACTATAATTGTTTCAAAGCAAAAGTGATTAATCTTGGACCCTACAACACCCATTTAAAGGCAAATAATGATAATTTGCAAACATGTTTTATGAGTTGGTTGAATAAACTTATATAATTCATGTACTCACTTCTATTACAATTAGTTTAATTTGTGGAATGTGATAATTATCAGTCTCTAATTAGGTGTATATATATAAGAAACGTATGGTCAAAAGTTACTTTTGCTGAGTTTCAAGTACCTTTAACAACTAATAAAGTTGTGCTTATGATAAAGAGAAATCTCACAAAGGTCATCAAACCAGTCGATCCCTTTCAAATTTTTTATTATTAGAATTTTCATTAGGTTCGGCGAAAAGAAAAACAATAGGTTTTATTATATAGATATGGTACAAGACCTACATATTTTAACTTCTTCTACATATTTTATAAAATTATCAAAAAAACAGATTCTTATAGAATGTAATTATATTTTCTAACAAAAATAAAGGCTATGATAAAAAAAATTTGGCCAAGTTTTGAGAAATCTTAGGTCTTCAACTAGTTATTTTTTGTTTCCAAAACATATACTAATAAGTACATATCTAATGACAATCAACTTTTAAAATTAGTAAAACTTATTATTGTGTATTATGTCCCCTACCAAACATCGATGCTCCCTCAAAAACAATAAAAAGCATTTCGTATAATATATACCATGATATCAACATTATGTTTCGATGTTTGGAAAAAAACGTTGAAAAAGTATTTTTAGAAAAACATTTCATCAATGGATGAAATAGAAAAAATAAATAATGAATATAATATAAGTAAACAGTAGACCACAACTTTTTCAGCATATCACATGCCCCGATTTTGGCCACAACACAATCTTGAATCTTCTGTTAAACAATAATTATAGGAATATATTTAAACACTTAAATAAGATTCTTTGCTCAAGAAAAGGGGTTCAAACAACTAAATCCACCTATCTACTAGTATTTTATCTATTGTCTCTTGGCCACTTGGCCTATCCGTCTTCACTATTTAGTAGTCTTGAGTACTTGTTCATATTAGTCAATCATAATAACGAAAACTAAAGAAAAAAAATATTAAGAGATCAACGAGATAACCAAAAAAACAAATCAAAATCGTCGAGATTACCAACCGAGTTTCATATAGAAAAATATTTTGCATTTTCTATGTAAAATTTAATTTATATTTTTTCTACTAATTGGAGTTATAATAGAAAAACTAATAAAAATATTATATGTGAATTGTGATATATCTTTTATATGTTAATTTACAACCAAAACAAAAATAAACTCCCTCTGTATCAAAAAGATTGATTTTATAGAATTTTTAAACCAATAAAGAAATGTTTAGTATAAATGAACTATTTATTCATACTAAACCATTTATCTTAACTATTAACCAATAGTAGTTCATCAAATTTTAAAATTCTCAATTAATGATTCTTAAGATTCATAATTTATCAACATTAATTGATAAAAATTTACAGAAAATCAATTTTTTGATACAAAAATAAAACTTCAGAAAATCATTCATTAGATACAGAGGGGGTAATATTTAGATTTAGTTGACAAGTAAAGAGCTATTTCATCGCACTTTTGTTAAATGAAATATTATACAAGTATCAGCCAAGTATAAAAATTTCTAATCTTACTTTAGAAAAAATAATTTTCTCCTAAAAATATAGTTTCGTAAGTTTGTTTGCCAAAAATGATGATGTGCTAATATAATGATATTATGTTGATGATGATGATGATGATGATAATGATGGTACAATAATAATAGTAAAGTTA